ATTTTTACCCTGGACAGCTCTTTCTCTCTAAGTCACCAGAGCATGCTCTATACTGTGGTTTGTGGCATTTAAATGCATGTGTATATCATTTTAGGAAAGATCCTTAGATAATGTCCCTGTGGCTTTGGGAAGTAAGATAAATCTGGGTGTGGCAGATTGAGAGCTATTGACTAAGCCTCTGAAGACCTGCATTCTTATGCTCCTTCTTCTGTCATTAACTAAGTGACCTGGAGTATGTCAATTGTCCTAACTAAGGTTTAGTTTATTCACCCTTTAAATAAATGCATTAAATTGAAAAACTTACAAAATGTCCAAATTCCTCAAAGAATACCACATACCAAAATGAACAGAAGAAGAAATGGAAAAATCTCAAAAGCCCTTTTTCTATTTAAAAGTGAATTTTCGGAGTTTAAAACTGCTCTTTGACTTCCCTCCTCCCACAATGACAGGTCTCTTTTTGTCAAAAATTTAAGGATAAAATAATGTGAATATTGGACAAACCCCTTTACAAAACAGAATTTTCATTAACGTGTATCACTTGGCCAGTATTATACATATAAGAAACTATGATGATGATATTATTTAAAAAAAAAGAAAATAATAAACCAATAGCTTTCATCAACTTAAATATAAAATTCCTTCACAAAATATTATCAAATGGAATTCACCCAAATTAAAAAGGAGGAGTTGAGATGCTACCCTGAGCATATTGTCTTTCTTGCTCCCATATCAAACCCTGACAGATATCATTAATTGATCTCTGTTTTTTCCAGTTGAATCATTCTCAGCTTAGCTCTCCTGGAAGCTATGACAATCAATTAAAGTTGGCATGTAAGAAGAAATCTATTTGACATCATTGAACTAAATGGATACTAATAATATAAGCCTGAGATACTACAATTCTATTATCCTATTAAAATTTTGAGGTCATTTTATAGGCAAGCATTTCCTTCTGTGTGGGATGATTTATTTCAGAAAAGACACAGAAGAGCAAGGGCCGGTTGTTTTGAACAATCCACAGGAAGGAAGAAGCCATAAAATTTAAATGCCTAAAAGGATCATAACTTTGTTTGTTCGCATTTACTGCTATATCACCAGCTTCCAAGGACAAAATTGGGTTTACAATAGCATGCAGGACTGTTTGTGGAATGAATGAATGAATGAATGAATTCTGAGAGAGGCACACAAGTGCTTCTGTCTTTCTGGAGTTGTTATGGTTACTGCCATCAAGTCAAGGCTAACTAGTCACAAATGATGAGCCAGGAATTGGGGTCTCATCCACATGGCCACGTGAGGGTTGAACATCTGTAAGTCTGATTATTCTTGTTAAACAATTTTAGTCTCATCTCTCTTCTGGGTTGCAGACACACATATCTAGCTGCCTCCTTGGTATTTTCATCAGCTGCTGCAAAGACTTCTTAAGCTCATATTCTATTATAGCTGTATTGTTCCCCTGCCCCCAAATCCTTCTCCTATGTTTCTGATCTCAGCAAACTGATCCCCCATCACCCATCCAGTTATATAGACGGGAGAGTTAGAAGGCAGGATAAATACCCCTCCTGTCTCCACATCCTATGTCATTCTTGGCTCTCGAATATATGTACACCTTTCTCTGTCTTCCCCACCACCACCCTGGTCTCAGGCCCCATGTCTCTCACCTTGAAGACAGTAATCATCAGGTATAAGTCTCCTTGCATTTACCTCTGTGCAACTCTCCATGCCAGCTTGAGAGATCTGCTTGAAAAGATTGGCTTAAAAAAAATTGGCTACCTGTTGGTAGTTTCTTGTTCTTAAGAGAGAAGCCAAACTCTCTAAACTGGTCTACAAAGCCCTGGATGACCAGTCCTTGTTGTCCTCTTAAGCTGTACCATAGACCAGTCACCCCTACCTTTGGTGTGCTCACCAAAAGTGAGTGGGATAAATGTGGCCTTTTTTTTCCTCCAACCCAGTATGCTACTTCCTACTTCTCTGCCTAGAACTCTTCACCTCCTCTTCTTTATCTAGTTAGCTTCTACACACCCTCCAAAGGTCTTATCACTTCTTTGAGGAAGGTCCATAACCTTCCCCCTTGACCTCAATGGGCTGTTGTAGGCTTTCAGAAAATATGTTCCATTCTTTCATTTATCTTAATTTGTGCTGAGATACTCACTCATGTGATTATTCAATGAATAATCCAAGCAGACTATAAGCTCCATTTGAGCAGGAATTGTATTATGTTTACTTCAATTTTGTTCTCAGGGCCTAGCACTGTGCGTGGCGCTTAATGGGCATTCAATAAATCTTCAGTGAATAATGAATGAATGAAGAGCCTAATGCCTTGGGCTAACTTTGGGTTTCTTAATCATGTCCCTAATGGTAGGATAATTCTCTGTTGGGAGGACTTTTCTTTGCAGTGAAGTTTGCTTAACAGAATTCTTTTTTTTTTTTAAAGATTTATTTATTTTTATATAAGCACCAGGGTACAGGCCAGATGCATGGGAGGGTAAGAGGATTCACCAGAGACAGCGCAGAACAAAACAGCCTGATGAAATACACTGCTGAGGGGAGCAGTGGGTGAGACAGCAGAGATCTTCTTTGCCATGTGGGACTCTCGTCAGCTGACTGGGATCGAACTGGTGCTGCAGAGGCTGCAGATAGCTTCACAGTGCGGTGTTCAACCCCCTGCCCCACCAGGGGAGGCCCTTAACAGAATTCTTGACCTCTACCCACTAGATACTAGTAGCATCCCCATTATTGTAAAAACCAAAAATGCTTCCCAGGAGGGGGATTATAAAACTGAGAACCACTGTGATAATTTGTATTAAGTATTTAAAATATTTTCTTGCCATTCTGGGTTATGTAATCCTTTGTTGTGTGTGCATTATAATATACTTAACACCTCTCTAAATGCTAAGTCCTTCTGTAGTTGATCATACCATCCCTGTAGAGACCCTTTCTGTATCCCTCCCTGTGGATGAATGTATTTCCTACCTGACTAACATCACACTCAGTTTTATGGCTTGCTTTTGCCAACAAAATGTCAGCAGATGAGAATGTCATGTCAGAACAGAAATTTTTAGAACCAAGAGTGATTCCAGTTGCTCTTTTCTGTCTGACTCAGGACTGAGAATGGGGCTACCCTTCATCTGCTTCTGTAATAAAGATGGTAATGGGGACAGAGCTGAAGCCAACTTTCTGATGATATGTACATCAGCAGCAAACGAATGTTGTTGAAAGTCCCTAACATTTTGTGAGCACAGCATAATTTAGTGAAATCTGACTGTTAAAACTCTACAGTGGTTTGGCCAACAAGGACTCATCGTTAGGTAGTAATCGATCCACTCTAACTCTGTTTTAGGATAAATGCATAGACAGTGAACAGAGGAAAGATCACTGAGATTCAGGCCTTTGAGGTAGTTGTTCAGGTTCTTAATGAGGCTTCAGGACCCAGTAAAATTGCCGAGTAATTTTATCTTATTTCACACTAGATGTATCATTCAATAATCCCCAGTTGTGCTCCTTTTGCTTTGCAACTGAAAGAGCAGACTTAAGCAAGAATATGAGTACTCTATGAGCAGGGGAAAAATCTGTTTGATCCTCAGCATCTGTATAGTGTAAATTGAAATAGTTGCTCACTAAATGCTTGTTGAATGACTGAATGACCAGGAGAAGTTGCCAAATAATCCCTGTGCTTTCCTACATTTACTAGCCTGCATTTCTTGCAGTGAGACTATGATCAAATGCCTATGAGCATAGCAATAAGTGTCATTTCTGGTCTGAGAAAATTAAGAATGGGGGTGCATTCTCTATTCTCAATCACATATGTATGACAGGAGGCAAAGAACTTTGAGATAACAGAGGTGCAGACAGAGTCATTTGGTCCCCTGCTGCTCTACAGCAGGAGCACTATCAAGGAGAGCTTGTGACCCAGACCTAGATTCTAATGAATGAGAAATAAACTTTGTTGTCTTAATTCCCTGTTTCTCCACTGGGAGTATTTTGTCCCCCTGGGTACATTTGGTAATGTCTGAAGACATTTTTGTTTGTCATGACTATGGAGGCATACTGGAGTCTAATGGGTAGAGGCCAGAGATGCTGTTAAATATCCTACAATACACAGGACAATAAAGAATTATCTAGTCCAATTATCTAGCCTAGTAGTTCCAAGATTGAGTGAACCCTCCTTTAAATCACTAATTTGGGATTTATTGTTACTGCAGCATAGCAGATCTTTTTCTCACTAATGGAATGAGTGATTATAACATCATTCATGTTACCATCTTGCTTCTTTAACTAGCAGGATCATTGTATTTTCTATGGCACTAGAGCCTTCAAGAAGGCAATAAAGAAATTACAAATGAATTGAATAAGCAAAATAACTCCATGAGGAGCTGGCACATTTTCTTTGTGGAAACAGATAAGTGGAGGAAACTGCAAAGTCCAAATGTAGAGAGTTAGTGCCACAGAACTCTTAAGAGGTTGTCTTACAATGGTCTGTTGACTAAATCTGGCCCACTGGTTGTGTAAATAAAGTTTTATTGAACACAGCCATGCCCATTTGCATAAGTGTCATCTATGGTTGCATTGTGCTACAAAGACAAAGGTGAGTAATTTCAATAGAGACCAGATGAACTACAGTCTAAAACAATTACTGTCTGATCCTTTATAGAAAAACAATTGATGACTCCTATTAAGAGCCTGGGCTTAAAAACCAGCTCCAATGCTTACTAGCTGTGTGACCTTAAGAGAGTCATGTCATTCCTCTGAACTGTAATTTTCTCATTGATCAAACAGAGGGTAATCAGATCTACCTCATATGGTGTAGTTGCTTAAGGATTTTTTGAGCTGAAGTGCTTTGCACATTGTCTGGCACGTAGACTGTTTATGAATGATAGCTATTATTAATAATGTAGTACTTTAAACAATGAATAGTAATAATAAAACAAAACCACCCTTTGTGGTTAGGACAGAAGTAGATACTTCCCGGGAGCCTGGCAGTAAGCTTTTGTCCTTCATCACAGATACTCTGGCATCCCATAAGGAAATGTGTTTATCTTGAAAGCACCTGGCAGTGTCGGCATGGATGGGGCTGAGCTGGTGGAAAGACCCCATTTTTCAAGCCCAGCTTTCTACATGGAATTATTCAAAGGGAAACCTTATCAAGCAGCCTTCCAGCCCCGTGTCATCCATCTTCTGAAGGTAATTCAATAGCCCTTGGTAGCTGATGATTTATGGGTGGGTGGCCACGGGAAGGTTGCTTTTTGTATTACAGTCTGTTTTTATCAATGACCAGCAACCTGCTGGCTGGGGCCAGAAGCAACAGGCTCTTTGTTTAATCCTGTTAACCTGTGCCTTGGTTGCTGCCAGCTCCAGGCCAGCAGAGGGCTGCTGGCCACTTGGGCAGATGAAGGACTTGGATCATTTTGAGTTCAGAGTGCCAGTAGTTAAAGAAAGACTACTATGTCTTTACAGCAGGAGAGCTCTGCCTACTATACAAAACTGCTGTAGACCCCCAAACCTCATTTGATCAATGCTACAGTCCTGAGAGGCAGAGGTTGTCATCCTTGCCTTACAGATGAGACACTGAAGCTGAGAAGTGGCTATTCATCTCGTGCCCAGGTTAAGAAAGCCAAGTGCTTCTATCTTAAAGGAGTGTGTGCATGTATCACTGGTGAGGAAGCCTAGCCTATGAGTTGTCTGTGATCAATTGGTCTTGGCTCTTTCCTATGGCTGTCTTATTTCAAACATGCCAGGACAACCTTGAAGATGGTGGGACTTTGTGCTCTCATTTGTTTTTTCATTCCTACATAGATTTAAATAATGAATGGTACCTGCAACTTTGTATATGCTAGTCCTGCTCCTGAAACACTCTTGCCATCCTGTTTGCCTAGTTAACTCCTGCTTGTCCTTCAGTTCACAGCTTAGAGGTCAACTTGTGCCATTTGATATCTAATCAGGAAAATAGAAATGATGTTATTTCACTTAACTGAGAGAATTTATTGGAAAGTTGGTCAAGAGCTTACTGGAAGATGGAAGAGTTAAAAAGGGAAAACCAAGGGAAACAAGATAGTAATTAGCATATTAGTTACTCATTATTGCATAACAAATTACCCTACAAGGTAAAACAATCTTTCATTATGTCCTGTTTTCTATGGGTCAGGAATCTGGGTCTGGCTTAGCTGCATCTTTTGACTCAGAGTCTCTCACAAGGCATCAATCAATGGCAGCTGAGGCTGGGGTCTTACCCAAAGGCTCAACTGGGGAGGGACCTGCTCCTGTACTCACTCAAGTGGTCTTTGGCAGGATTCAGTGACTCCAGTGCTATGGAACCAGAGCCCTCAGTTTATCCCTGTTTATTTGCTAGAGGCCACCCTCAGTGCCTCACCTTGTGGGCCTCTCCATTGGGCAGCTCACGACATGGCTGCTAACTTCATCAGGGTGCGCAAGGCAAGCCAGAACACCCACAATGGACACCAGTTTTATTATCTAATCATAGTCATCACATCCCATCACTTCTATTGTTTTCTGTTAGAACTAAGTCAGTAAGTCAATTCTCTACTGCAGGGAGGGAAATTATACACATGCATAGATATGGGTTGGGGATGATGGTGGAGTGGCTGTGGTTCTGGGGGCCATGGCAGAGGCTGCCCCTCATAGGCAGAAAGAAGTTAATACCCAAAGGGAAGAAATTGGGTGCAAGGAAAATGGAGTTACTCAGGCTCCTTTTTGTCTCCTCCTCTTGACCCTACAGCTACCACAAGTGGCTTTGCTTTGCTCCTCAGTTGTATTACCCACACGTGGTATCAAGTTGATGCAAAAGCATGATCACAGGGAATGTGATGATGGGGTGTGTGCACCTATGATTACAGACACCCAGGCTGAGAAGCCAGAGAGCACAGGGCATACATATATATAAGTACAGACATCTGGGGTAACAAAGGGAAAATAGAGGCGAGATAAAGAGGAGAGGCCATGGAGAAACCAGAGAGAGAGAGTGTGGTGATCGCAGGGGCTGGGAGGCTCAATCGCTGCCTGCTTCCTGGTCTCCCTGACTCCCTGCTTGCTGGTCAGCCTATGTACCCAGTCCCCTGATTCAGCATTAAAGGCCTATCTAATTTACAACGGTTCCAAGATTCTTTTCCTTCTGCCTGAATCAACCATGAACATGCCTGGCTGGGATGGTTGTCACTACATTGGGGTTTCAGAATCTAGATGTTTAGAGGAGGGTCCCCATGGAGCTGAGACTGCCTCTGAGAGGTGGACCCTGGCCAGCTTATACTGGTGACTCTGACAAGGTGCATTGAAACTATTTGTAAGAGTGCGAGGAAAAATACCTGGAAACAGGTGCTAACTATTGTTTCTGGAACCAATTGGCACTTCCCTGCTGTTTATGTGTATGTGTCTTCACTGACAGAAGAGGACACACTACTGAAAGGAGAAATTTTTTCTATCCCTATTATAGGATCCGTTCACCCTCCCTACCCCCCATTCATATGGTGAAGTCCTAGTCTCCAGTTCCTGAGAATGTGACCTTATTTGGAAATGGGTCACTGTAGATGTTATTACTTAAGATCTACTGGAGCAGGGTGGGTCCCTTATTTCAAATGATGGTGTCCTTATTAAAAAGGAAAATTTGGATACAGATATAGAAACACAGTCCATGAGAACAGAAGGCAGACAGAGATGGGGGTGATGCTTCTAGAAGCCAAGATAAGACATCATTTACCACCAACTGAAGCTAGGGGAGAGGCATGAACAGATCCTCCCTCACAGCCCTAGGAAGGACCCAACACTATTGACACCTTGGTCTTAGACTTCCAGCCTCCAGGACTGTGAGACAATATATTTCTGTGGTCTAAGCCCTCCAGCTGGTGGAACTTTGTTATGGCTGCCTGAGCAAATGAATACACAGCCTCCTCCAGCCTTGCAGTCTCCTCCTGCACCATCTGTCTTACAAAACTACCAGGGATGCAACTGGCAAAGCAGAGATGTAGCTGCAGCCCAGAACCACCACACAGATGATGGAGGGAGGCTGTGAAGCTGGGGATGAGAGCATAATGGTCAGCCCAGCCCTCTTGGGTGGGGGGAAACTCAGTGATCCTACCACACAGCAGGCCCTGGCTGATAATGTCCTGTACCACCTTCCATGGTAGCACTTACTACCCTCTTGTACTCAATAATTTATATTTTCCCCTAGACTATGAGCTTCATGAGGACAGGCAATCTATCATTCTCCCCCTGTGTCAATTCAGGCAACTATCACCATGTGCATATCATCTCATTTACTCCTCAGAATAAACCTGCCACACATATGCTTTTATCCCCACCTTGCTTATGAGAAACCTGGAAATCAAAGTACTAAAATGACTTGCTCATGGTCGTACTGCTGGCAAGAGCCAATGCTTGAAACTCCTTTCTGCTATCCAGTGCTATTTTCCCCTAATTTTTTTTTCAAGTGACCATGTATTAAAGATTCACAAAACCCATATAGATGTCAACTATATCTTTATCTATAGCCATGCTTTGTTATCTATGTTATCATTTAATCCCATTTCATGGAGAACTGATGGAGAACTAAGAAACAACTGATTATTCCAGTTAAATCCAATGCTACTGTGTGGCCAGACAGCTGAAAATCAACCAGTGTCCCTCCACTAAGAGCAGATTAATAGATTGTTGATACATCTAATGGTTTGTTTAATTGATGGCTTCTGCTATTATTAGGGGAGAGTTTAGAAGGGTTTTTATGATTATAAGACCCATATCAATTAGCCTTGGAAACAAGAATGTAAATACAAAATGTTTTTTGTCCTGTTGCCAAGCAAAATAAGCACCTATACTTGTAGCCAAAGCTTTAAGAATTTATTCAGCAAATATTTGAGCACGTATTACATCTTTGGCTCTGTTCTCGCAGGATATAAAAGTATAAGCTAGATTTCCTGTCCCCAGGGGCCTTGCAATGTAGTTAAGGAAAGGCGAGCTGCACACAGGAAATGTTAATTAACAAAATGGGGCCATCGAGGGTAAATAGCTAATTAATAGAATGGACAATAGGAAAATTAATAGAATGGACAATAGGTGCTTATGGGAATTCAGAAGAAGTGATGACAGTAATGAAGAAATTTGCAGCCATTTTGCTGAGCATTTACTGCATTCCAGGCATAGTGTTGTTCATGTGTACTAACATTTTACAGATGAGGAAACTGAGGCTTAGAGAAGTGTCTTGCACGAGATTGCACAGTGGGTGACAGAGTGACCCCTTAATTACCTGCCATTCTATAATCTGAGAGAGGATTGTACTCTGCACTTCCATAGGAAGTAGCAACTGTGTTGGGGAGTTGGGGAAGAGCATGTAAATCTTAGACTGGGTTTTGAAGCATGAGTAAGAGTTCAATAGTGGCTGAAAGAAATTCTAGTAGAAGGACAAGTCTATGCAAAACATGGAGGTGGTGCCTTAATTTTTTCCCTCTACCTCTGGCTATGCTTACCTTAGAGATGGCCTTTCTTTAGAGATGGCCAGGATCAGACATCCCCAATCTTTTATGCCCCTTCCTTTAGAGAAGGGTTTGGAGTTTCTGAATATTTATGTTTTGACTCTGCAGGCACTGAGGCCTGGTTGGTTGGGAGAGAGACACCTCTGTGATTCTAGATCAGACCAAGAGCTTGTCAATTATTTTCAACACTTGGAAAAGAAAGTGATGTGACTTCCTCTCTTCCCTGGACACACATACCTATTAAAAACGCCAGGAACATGTTGTTGAGTGAAAAATCCTTGGGAGGACTAAAGTGCTTATTGCCAATTTAAAAAAAGGCATTCTGCGAGAAAACTAAAACAGATGGAAATAAATTGAATTTTCTGCCCTCGGAGATTTTGAGCACAGAAACCCATGTAATTGACCACTGGTTTTCGGGGGAAGGTGGGGATGAGGGTGAGAAGGCAGTAGGAGGAGGCGGGGAGAGGTGCTTTGAGAAACGTTTAAGGTGGAGGATAGGATCATTTTGCAGAATGAGAAACACATTCTTCTAGAAGATCTGGGTTTCTCCTCAGAGGTGGAGGAAACTTGTTAGGGATGCCACACAGAATAACCTCTTACAACTTCAATTTCTGGTCTGTGAATTGGGGGTGATGCACTGAAACTTTGAGATCACATAAGACGAGGTACATGAAGCACTTTGTATGTTGCCTGGCACATAGTAGG